GCTTAGGGTTTAGGGCTTTAGGGGTACCCACAGGTCCCATAGCAGTTCCTTTTTCTGGCTTATGTTTAGGATCCTATTAGGTAATCCCAAGAAGGAACTACTATGGGGCCTATGCGTAGACTCTAAACCGCTGAACACCCCAAGCCCCTAAGGTAACTAAAAAGCCTAAGCCTAAATAACCCAAACACCCTAAAGTCAAACCCTAAACCCTAAACACCCTAAACTCAAACCCTAAACGCTAAACCTTAATACCCCAAACACCCTAAACTACAATTCCCAAACCCACTGAGGCTCCCGCCAACATCTGCCACAAGATTCCAGCTGCCAGCCAGGTCTCAGGTGGCCTAGCGGGCTGAGTTTCTGTAGGGCGTCGCCTTTAGTGTAAACTAGGCTCAGGCTTGTTGGGTTCAGGTTTAGGGCTTAGGGCTTTGGGTTTGGGGCTTAGGCATTAGGGTTTACGGTTCAGTAAACTCTCAAAAAAGATAGAAACCAGACTGAGGACAAGAAGTGCTGGCGTTCCCCTATACATTACTCCTTAGGATTGAAGCCATTGGGTTGGTTTCCACTTTAGGGTTTGGGGTTTAGGGTTTAGGGTTTAAGGTTTAGGGTTTAGGGTTTAAGGGTGAGGGTTTGAGGCTAAGTAGGCTACTTAGTCCAGCATCCTGGATCACTTAAGCCTTACATTTCTCGAACCCAAAACGGGGAGGTGGGCACAATAAGCCTAAACCCCTGACTTTCGCCCTGAAGCACTGAACCCGGCCTATACGTCTTTGGGCCACCGCCGACCAAGCGCTGCTCCCGCAGCTTCATCCACATCATCAGATCCTCAACTAAGATGTTACACTTCAGGGTTCAAGGTTTACGGTCAAGGGTTTCAGGGATTCTTGAGGGTGATGACATGCTCTCTTCTATGAAACCGGCTTTCCCAAACTTGTTTTAGGGTGTGCAATGCCGTCATGTCCTATTACTACCCTAATAGAATCTACCTGATGTGCTTTCGCTTTGCAGGCGTACTCCTTGGCTGAGGCAGTCCGTGCTGCCTAGTCCCTCCTCTGCCCTGATGACTGAATCCAGATATTGTAGGTCTTGCTTAACGTAGATGCCCAAAGAGAGATAGAGAGGGAGAGAGAAAGGACACAGCTGACCAGATAAAGTTGGATTTGTAGGATTACGCGGAACGCTTTAAGCTTAAACCAGACTCCCTAAACCCTAAACCTACACCCTGGACCTTAATCCCTAAACCCTACATCCGAAACTTTTAAACTTTAACCCCAAACCCTACATCCGAGAACCCTTAAACCTAAACCCTGAACCCTAAACCCTAAACCCTAAACCCCTGAAAACCTAAACACCCCTTAGGGCTCTGTGGCTGTGGGGTCTCGGAGTCGAGGGCTTTGGCTTTGAGGGTTTTAGGGGTTTAGGGTTTAGGGGTCTAGGGGTTTAGGGTTCAGGGGTCTCGGGGTTTAGGGTTTAGGGGTTTAGGGCTCTAGGGTTTTAGGGTTTATGGTTTAAGGCTTTTTCCAGTTCAGTCTTCATGCTGTACCAAGTATCCCCGCCGGCGCAATAGTCCATAACAAAAAACAGCACTTCGTCCGCCTCCTCATCGTCCTGGCTCCGTGGTTAAGACGTCGCTCTTGAGCCGTTGAGGGTTTACGGGTCAGGGTTGAGAGATTCGGGGCATCGGGCTTTAAGCGGCGCCCCTTTAGGGCTTTAGGGTTTAGGGTTTAGGGTGGCTTAGTCATGTACGGTGCACAGCTACGAAAGGCGCCGTAACAGCAAACACATGCCCTCCCAACAGGTGACCCATCCTGCGGTTGAACATGGCCAGGTAACCGAAGCCTATACCCTAAACCCTGCAATCACTGAACCATAAGCCTCAAGCCACAAGCCTGTGCTAGAAAAACTCAACATATCAGAACCAACGACTCGGAGCTCTGGATCCTGAGCTAAATTCCAAACCTTACACCCCTATAACATCTATAGGCCTAGGGCCTAAGGTTTCAGAGTCAGCGTTTAGGGCCTAGGGGAAGTGGCCTCCATGTGTTGGGGGGGGAGTCGGGCCCAAGGTACGCAGGGCATTGGTGTAAGCTGATACCCGGTTCCTTCAAGGGATCTGCAAGGGCTGCTATCCTAAACCCTAAACCCTAAACCCTAAAACCCCTAAACCCTTAAACCCTTAAGCCCCCTATGGGTAGTTCTCTAAATTAGGGTGATCCTACAGGGGCAACGGCATCTTGAGCCTAAGGCTATTTAAGTGCTGAGCTGCAGCAGTAAGCCCGACGCCCTAGCAACTGCCGCACAAACCACGTCATGAGGCACTTCTGTAGGGGCCTCAATACTCAGAATAGGACTTTGGGCTCCAATATAATATATCTATAATAAGGAACCCTAACAGTAACATTGGTAATTATTTAGGGACTATGGGCGCCTATATAGTATATCTATAATAAGGAACCCTAGCAGTAATATTGGTAATTATTTAGCCTTCTGTCCCTAAACCCCGAAACCCCTAAACCGCTCTAGCACCAGCCGGTCCCCTGAGCTCCAAACCCACGAATCCCTCGAGTCAACTCTTCGCGGGTTTACAGATGTCGGGACAACCCTCGATGAACCCTTAAGCCCTAAACAGTGAACCCTAAACCCTAGACCCTAAACCCTAAACCCTGAACCCTAAACCCTAAACCCTGAACCCTGCACCCTAGACACTAAACCCTAAACCCTAAACCCTGAACCCTAGACCCTAGACCCTAAACCCTAAACCCGGAACCCTGCACCCTAGACCCTAAACCCTAAACTCTAAACCCAATTCCTGATCTCTAAACCCAATTCCTGAACTCTAAACCCTAAAATCCTGAACTCTAAACCCTGAATCCAAAACTCCAATCCCTAAATCCTGAACTCTAAACCCTAAACCCCAAACTCTAAACTCTAAATCCAAAAAAAATAAAGGGAATGTGCGAGGCCCAGGCATGGCCGGGACGGTAAACAACTGCCGATATGCCCTACTCTAGGGGCCTTAACAATTGGAGTAGGGTTTAGGGTTTAGGGTTAAGAGTTTAGGGCTAAGGGTTTAGGGTTAAGGGTTTGGGGGCCTTAATAATTAGAATAGGGTTTAGGGTTTAGGGTTTAGGAGCCTTAATAATTAGAATAGGGTTTAGGGTTTAGGGTTAAGGCTTTGGGGTTTAGGAGCCTTAATAATTAGAATAGGGTTTAGGGCTTAGGGTTAAGGCTTTAGGGTTTAAGGGCCTCGCTTGAGGGTTCTTATAACGGTTCCATAGGGGCCTAATGTAGGGACCTAAAACGGGTTGTGCGTTCCTTTATAGTATAGTGATAATAGGGAACCCGAAAAACTAGTTGTGGTAACCATTCAGGCTTAAGTATTACTCTAAGGGTCCATGTGCCCTGTGCAGGGTTTAGGGTTTAGGTGTTTAGGGTTTCGGGGGGGGCTTCTGTAAGGCCAAAGTATATACTACTTAGGCACATGGACCCTTAGGGATATATCTCAACCGCAAGCATTTATGGTAAACTGAATTGCACCATACGCCCGCTAAACCCAGACAAGCCAGCGATGGTGGCAGCCACTGATCCGTGCCACTCATAATACACTAAACCGCGCAGTGCCAGTGTCTCCTGGAGAATGTTGTAGAGGCGGACGATGTATGGATTGTCGAGAACCTTCGCCGCGATATATAGGGTTTAGGGTTCAGGGTGTCGGGGACGATGTATGGATTGTCGAGAGCCTTCGCCGCGAACGAAGAAATCTAGTAGGCCCAGATGGGTGATCTTAGCTGCGCTAAGCTGAGCTTCAAATTTCAGAAGAATCAGTACTAACATCTCCTTATAGTCCCGAATATCGTCATAATACAAACACATCACGAAACATATTAAAGCCCCTTTGGTCGCCCGTCCATCTGTTTATGTTGCCAGCTAAAGCGGTTGCCATACCCTGCTGATGCAGACAAAAATCCGATACACGCATACAGCATACCGACACTTAGCAGCAAAGGAGCACAAGCACATGACGGCATAGATGTCTCTGAACGTCACCCACCCCATAATCACATATGCACATACACGGATGTATACATACACGTCTGTACATACATGCATGTATGCATGAATGCATGCATGCACGCATATATGCATACATGCATACATGAATACATGAATACATACATACATACATACATACATACATACATACATACATACATACATGCATACATACATATGTATAAACGTACATACTTAAATGCGTCCATACACATACACACATACATACATACATACATACATACATACATGCATTCATACATACATACAGGCATACATACATACATACATACATACATACATACATACCCACATACGTACACAAATTCATACATACATACATACATACATACATACATACATACATACATACATACATACATACACACATACGTACATACATACGTGTATGCATACACATACACACCTACATACATACATACATACATGCATGCATACATACATACATACATACATACATACATACATACATACACACATACGTACATACATACATGTATGCATACATACATACACACCTACATACATACATACGTACATACATACATACATACATACATACATACATACATACATACATATGCTACATACCTAAATGCCTACATACCTACATACGTACACACATACATACATACATACATACATACATACATGCATGCATGCATGCATGCATACATACATACATACATACATATATACATACGTGCATACCTACCGACTTACCTACCTACGTATGTACGCACCTACCTACCTACCTACCTACCTACCTACCTACCTACCTACCTACCCACTTATCTGCCTGTGCCTGCATACGTACACACATAGATATATACAATGCGCGTGCCAGTATGTACAACTTGGGTATATGTGATCATCTAAGTCCTGGAACAACCTTGCGAGTCTAAGGCGATAAGGCCGAGTGAGTTTCGCTTGCAAGACGGCGCCGAGGTACGACAGGGTCAAGTTCGGGGCCGGCACTAAGCCCTGACTGAAGAAGTAGAATAGGGTTCCCTCGAGGGTCCGATAAAAGTTTCTACCAGTAAAGGAAGTCTAGATCACATGGGCCTTACTTATTAGCCCAGTGTTTGAGGGATTCTTCACAACAGTTAATTTTAGAGACAGGTCATAATTACAAATTGGATTAAGTATTCGAGCATGTGGGCTTGGTGCTGTCTAAACGTGGCTGGCAGCTTTGGCAAGCATCCATCACAACCTGAAGGAGTGTCATACCTTCCAGGTTTCGGGCGTAGGGTGTAGGGTTGATGGTCTATCTGTGCACGGGGTCGGAATCTTCTCCCCCAAAGCGTGCGCTTCTTCTTCGACAGTTTACCCACTTCGGTCAACGATGCTGCAAGCAGCTCGCTCTCGACGTCACCGAGCACCTGCAAGCAATCTTCGCCGGTGAGTTTGCAGCTTCGGCCAGCAGGCTCCGAGCATCCTTCTGTAAGCTGTTGCCAGGCAAGGCCCAAACGCGTTTCACCTTAACGGTCCTTGGCACAGAAGGAACGTGTCGGCTGACATTTTCTTGCTGCACTTGCCGCAGCGAAGGCCGATCGCCGTTGATTGCGAAAGCTTTAATTAAAGAGAGATCAATTAAACATAGGTTAAATGTTATGCCATAAACATCTTCCTATGATATTACAACTAATTCTAGGTTATGGAACACGTCCATTAGGATATAGTCCCAACTTCTTGTCCCTACATGACTGCAGCACAACTCTGGCATGACCTGCTTTACGGGCTCAACCTATGTCCAGATCCCAACCGTGTCCGAAACACGACACTACCCATAGGCCCCATAGTAGTTCTGTTTGGGGATTACCCACTAGGATCCTAAATATAAGCCGCAAAAAGGAACTACTATGGGGCCTATGGGTACAAACTCTACCTTTCCGTGTTCTTGCCTTGAAAACGGCCAGCTCGGCGGACGTGTGCTTGTTCTGCTGCACACGCCTGCAATCCAGTGAGGGAAATGCAGAGTCGCAGACTCTAAACCCTCAGGACTCAACACGAAGCGCGTGGACTCTACGCCGCTACGTCCGTCAGCCCTTAACAACATCTATGAGAGTTTTTTGGACGACAAAAGTTCAACGTGTACGCTGAATCGTTATTCAAGCTCGGGAACCACATTGTGATGACGATGTCCATAACGATGATGATGATGGTGATGACGATGATGATTATGGTGATGATGATGATGACGACGATGATTATGGTGATGATGATGATGATGATAATGATGACGGTGATTATCATGATGATTGTGATGGTGACGGTGGTGATAGCGAATATGATGAGAAGAATGACAGTAATTGTCATCAACATCATGATGATGATGGTGCATGTGACGCTCAGGAAAGAGAAGGCTATGTCTATGCTGATAACGAGGACCAGGATGATGATGATGACGATGACGATGATATTCAAGGCGTCTACTTGAAGGCAGATACGGATACAGACAACGGTTTGAACCATGACTGGAGATTCAAGATGCTTCAGCGCGGAGCCCTATCTTCTTCAAGCAAAGCCAAAAACCCCCCACAAAGCTGGTCGGAACCAACTTGTTGTGCCTCTGGGCAAGAAGCAATCAATTACTTGCTGCTGGCATGGACCCTAAACCCTAGAGAGTGCAACGACCTGGTGGCGTGTATTTCTCGGGAATTTAGGAGTTTTCACTCGAGTTTTTACACTCAGATTTTCAGAAAACAACATAATAC